TTTTTCAAACTCCATTCTGAGCTTCCGGACTTTATTTACCAATTGGTTATTAACCTTCCTATATGCTTTATATGCAGCTTCAGAACCGTTTTGGGTGTACTGTTTCCACAGATCCATTTTGTGATCGACTTCATCTAATATTTGTTGATTAATCCACGGTTTATTGACATTAGGTCTTTTAAATTTAGTTTTCAAAGGAATGTTTTTTTCAATAGCACTATGAATTTTTTGTGAAAAATTTGTCCAGGCATCATCAACATCACTAACTTGAGTATCTATTATGTTTTGTTTGTTTAAGACATGTTCCATTAGTTCCTCATAATTTACTGTAAAAAAGTTTCTTCGGGGCTGTTGGGTACTTGATTTACTGGCCGATTTATCTTCGCACTGTATTGTCGCTACAAGAACTTGATGATCGCTTTTTCCAATATTTGGATAGTGTTCAACACTAGTGCAGAAGTTTTGTTCATTACATAGAATGAGATCAAGTAGCGATTCCTCATTATTCCGCTGTCTTGTCACCTTATTTACAAGTTGATACAGGTTACTGTCTACATACAAGTCAACAAATCTTCCATGGAGAGTGTTATATCTATCAGTATCAGTATCAAGCAATGGCCATTTTAAATCAGGTAGATTGAAATCGCCCATTATCAACAATGGCACATTTCCATCAGATGCTTCTTTAATGGTTTCGAATAAAAGCCTATCCGTTTCTTCAAATATGTAATGAGTTGGCCGGTAGACGCCAGCCAGTATTATTTTTAAATTACCATACTTCACATCCAACCATAATGCTTCCACTTCAGAATATTTGTTGTAAGTAGGATGTGGAGTCGCCAGTATGGACTTTCCGTGAAGCTTATTTGATACATAAATAGCGACACCTCCCCACCCAGTACCCTTAATTCTATCATGTCGAAATAGTACGTAGCCTTTGATGTCAACTAGACTATTGTTAATACTTGGCTTCAGATGTGTTTCAGTAATAATAATGAAAGTAGGCCTTAGTCTACTGACCTCAACAATAAGCAAATCTCGTTTAGCCACAATCGATGCCAGGTTCGTATATAAAACGGTCATTTCTATAATCTTATCGTGTATAACTTTTTTGAATTCACTATTTTGGGGGTATTGTTTATATATTTTATAGTTAAATCACTTTCTCCATTTTCAATCCTTTGTTTAAGCTCCTCTCGCAATTTTTTAAGGAAGTCTCGTTGATATGGAGTCAGATCATTCTTAGCTGAGGTAAGTGACTTATTTACTTTTATTTCAATTGGATTGAAACGAAGTATAGTTAGCAGTACAATTGGCCATCACTAAGCTGTCTATGGTGGGGTCAGTGACCTGTTTGTTTACTTTTAAATGTTATAAAAATATTTAAAAACTACGTATTTTTGTTTAATAAACCAGATGCTATATAAATGACGCAAACAATTTTTTTCTTCACCTGTAAAATCAATGTAAAGCTGTCAAAATTGAGATAGTACCGGTTGCCAGTTCCCAATCGATATTTAATCAAATTTTGCTTAAATAAAAAATATTTAAAATTAAAATACGTCAAAATGCGTGTCCGTTACGACGTTAAACGAAGTATTTACCATTAAATATTGATAATATTATAAATTAGACGTGTCGTGTTGGCAGGTCAATGTTTTTAGGTTTTATTGAATGTCAGAATGTTTCACCAACATATTAATTTATTTTTTGTAAAATTACTCCACTGGTTTGTTGTAATTATTAAACAAACTTGAAAAAATTAACTTCGATCCGGTTGGAATCGAAACAACGTCACCCACCACAGGGCACTCTTAGACGCTATGCCATCTAAGCCACGGAACGATCCAACGGATCTCGCGAATTTTTTGCCGTAGTAGCCGTATCTATGAGAAATCTATGAAAGTTTTTCTTCACTCAAATTCAGAAAACATCGTGAGGTCACACAGAAAAATTCATGAGGTGCGTTGCTTTGTTCCGCGGCTTAGAAGGCATAGCGTCTGGCACGGTTTGCTGGGAGACGTTAGTTCGAATCCAACCGGATCGAAGTGAATTTTGTCTAAGTGTTCGATCTTTGTTTTATAATTAGGTCAATGTTTATTAACCAATATGGAAATACGAAATAAAATATTTGAACGTTTTGCAGCGCCGATTTTAGTGGAAGGGCACCAGGTGCGTTACTTCGAGTTCGTGGACTTCGAGCGAAAGTTCGAGGAGTGCATCAGTCAGTCGGCCGTGCGCACCAAGTTCGCACAGCACTCGCGCCGCGGACGTAACATCGCCGCTGACGTCATGGCCGCCCTCGATTTGGTACGTCATCATCATAGACCTGTCCTAACTTTCACCTGGCCCCCAGGTCTTCTAATTTGAAATCGTGGCAATTGTGTGTAAATAGAGTTTCAATGGCAGGATTTTATAAGTTTGGTATTCTGCTAAAAGTTAAAGAGTAGTGGCGTGAAAGTCTAGTCATCGAGCTACTTCAAGATATATATCTGTAATCGCTTATCTCATAAATAACTTACCTACAGTCAGTCAGTCCGTGATCAACTGGTCGAAACGTCGGGAAACTAGGTAGGTGTGAAAAATACCCATTCGTATGTAAACACGTTTATTCCCATTTCCAAATGTTAGTAACTTACCTGCAGGAATCAAAAATAATGTAACTAAAAAAACATTAAATTTGAGCTTAAAAATATATGCTAGTAAGTTAGTAAAAGTTATAGCATAATAATTTAATAGTTTTTTTTTATAATAACAAGTGACGAGACGAACAAGTCGTGCGCCTGATGGTAACATACACGCCTGTCGTTAACAGTTGTAGTGCCCCTCAGAGCTTTAAATCGTAAAGATCTGAGGGGCACTGTCACTGCGCCCGCCACCCTGAGATATAAATTGGCAAGTCCCATGTGCCTGTAATTTGACCTGCAAATTAGTTGTCATGCTAAGGGACAAAAAAGTAACTAGAATGCTTTTGATATTAAACCATTCTATCACATTCCAGGTGTACAATACGGCCACAGAACAAAAAAGCACAAAGGTGGAAAAGCAGCGAATCTTACACGAACAGCTGACGGCCATCGAAGAGCAGCTCACCACCATCACGCGCCAGATGAAGGACAAAATCAACCGCATGGTGGAGAGCGTCGAACATAAGGTAAAACACCTGTCACTAACGGATTTCTAGTACATCTGGCATTTTTTCATTATTTTTTTTATGATATCAAGTAACAAGACGAACAAGTCGTGGGCATAGTAATACAACTCGCGCATGACAGTGGCAGTGCCATTCACAGCTTTCGCAAAGATTTAAAGAGCACTGCCGCAGTACCTGTCACTCTGACATATAAGTTGACATGTATGTCAAGTGTGCCTGTAGTTGCACTAACACCCTTACCTTTAGTGCTATCACAGAATACATACATAACTCAAAGCAGTACGTGTTTTAACATTGACCAATAATATCGTTTAAATATCACGTGGCATGCGGTATGAAAATTTAACCAACTAATCAGATGGCGCTAATGTCATATGTGACAATCACTAACGTAAACTTCACAATAATCCGTTTCAATCCATTATTTAAAAGTAAACAAACAGGTCACTGACACCACCATAGACAGCCTAGTGATGGCCAATTGTACTGCTGACTATACTTCGTTTCAATCCATTTGAAAAATAAGTAAGTAACTCACTGACCCGACCATAGACGGTTTAGTGATGGCTAATTTTACTGCCAACCACAAATCTATTAATTAATTGAATGAAATTGAGTCATACTAGCGGTTTTCCTTATAAAGCCTATAAAAGCATATTTAAAATTTCCGTAATCTTAATTTTAAATCCTCCTTGCAAATCCTTACACTCAGATACTTGTTCCATTGCAATTGAAATTTTCAATTTACTAATCAATTACAAAAACTTTAATTGCATGAACCGAATTTTGTTTTTCCGTACAGCACTATGCAACCATAGAACATTCATACATCTGTAATAAAAACATAACCTCACTTTTTTACTACCATTTTTCAGACATGATTTTACGATGTTATTCAAATGAATATTGTTGAAAAGTGGTGAGATATCAAATCCAAATCTTCGAAATATCCATGAAAGTGTTACTTGTTCGATTTATTGAGTGATTGCTTTACAATTTTAATCAAACCGTTTTGTTTAATTTTTGTCTAAAATGGATTGGAACAGACTATATGCATCGATTAATTAATTGAACGATTCGATTTGTTTAATTGAATCAGTTGGAATAAACAGCGATTTTGCGATTTCGCTGCTGATTACTAATAAAAATATGTGGACCGATAATGAGTAATAATATAACAAAGAATTAGAAAATTATAATCTGTATAGATTGTAGTAAATTCAGCACATTGAACCACTGTGAAGACATGATGAAAACTTCAGTTTATTGTTTAAAGTTAAAATCAGTCAGTAAAGTGGATTGAAACGGATTATAAATAGTGTGACAATATGAAATACCATCTTTGATTCCAGGTGTCACTGACTCTCAGCCAAGAGATCCGTCGGCTGTCTGCGCTCGTGGATGAATTTGATACGGTCTTCCGACCGGAGCGCCAGGCGCTCGAACAGTACAAGCGGCAGCTGCATCGACACGTCGAAAGTGGCCTCGGCTCCAGACTCAAGAAACGCCTGTCCTCCGACATCGGGAACGAGATGGACGAGGCACAGAAGGAGATGGCAGGTTTGCATCTTTACTTAGTGTATGAACGTTTGAACATGTACAGAGGGACATTTTTGTTTTACCCGTCAAGATTATCAACCCTTATTATTAGGGGGTTATATTAGGGGGTTAAGTAGCTCGCGTCCGTAGGCTGTGTACCCTCGAGACCCTACACGTGACCCCTGGGTGGTGCCAAATAAGCTACAAACTCCGGTGGTAGACCTTGGTCGTGGCTGGTGACCACCCTCTGGGCGAAGCCTAGCCGCCAAACAGCTATAGCTGTGTTCCGGCTTGACGCCCAGAGTAGCCGCTCTAGAGTGAAGGGTCTGTACAGTTGCACTGCACTGATTTGGTAGATCTCGGGGCTCCCTTGTTGTTGCGCTGGGAACCTGGACGCGGAGGGTAGCGGGATCCGAAGCACGGTGCTCCGCTGGCCGACCGCAGGTAGTAGGGGGCCCAATTAGCTGATTAGCCTCCAGTGAAAGGCTGCCCCGCCAACTCGCGAAAAATCCCGGGGTGCTCCATCGTGCCGGTTGGCGACCGGATGAAAGGACCCGATGGCCACTCCCGGGGGGGTTCGGGCGTCCCCGCGCGCTCCAGTCTAGTTTCCCATCGGCGTACCATATAGGGTATGTGCCGCATGACTTTCAGTAGTAGTGTCTCGTACAACTGCCTTCGCTCTCCCCATTCACTCTAACCCTAATATGAAAAGGTCAAGAAAATTGAGGAAGGCTAAACAGCGGATGCACGTCCTTTCACTTAAAGTGCACCTCTCGAACATCCGAGGTCTGCACTCCAATCTCTCATCTGTCCACCACCATCTTGAGACTGAAAGGCCTCACATGCTCTTCCTCACGGAGACCCAAATTAGATGTCCTTCGGACACGGCGTATCTGCATTACCCAGGTTACATTCTGGAGCACAAATTTAAGCAGCGCGCTGGTACCTGCGTTTACGCTCGTGATGACATCTGCTCTAAACGTCTCCGTGACCCCGATCTCTCTGTAATGTGGGTTCTGGTAGACACTGGACTGGAACAAATTGTTTACGCCAGTGTGTATCGGTCGCATTCTGGAGACCCGGAGACGACTAGGCTGTTCAACCATCTCTGCAGCTCGGCGGAAACAGTCCAACAACGGTATCCTAAAGCACAACTTGTCTTTTTGGGGGACTTTAATGCCCATCACCAGGAATGGTTGTTCCCATATCAAAAAACCGACCACGCTGGAAGAGAGGCGCGGGCATGTGCTCTATCACTAGACCTTACCCAGCTGGTGAGTTGCGCTACCAGGGTACCGGACGTTGACGACCACACTGCCAATTGCCTGGATCTTCTGCTGACAACCGATCCAGACCGCTACCAAGTATCGGTCTCATCCCCACTAGGGACATCCGATCACTGTCTGGTGAAATCTGTATCTGTCTACTCCCCGCCCGATCTCAGTACGGGAAGTACTAGGAGGATGTGGCGATACAAGTCAGCTGATTGGGATGCGATGCGGCATTTCTTTGCATCTTATCCCTGGCGGCAGCTGTGCTTCTCTTCTGACGATCCGACGTGCTGCGCGTCTGCCGTCTCTGAGGTGATTATTCGGGCTATGGAATACTTTATTCCGTATTTCGAAGTCTCCTCCAGCGGCAAAGCTCGCCCTTGGTTTAACGCTGAGTGTGCTTCTGCGGAAACGCTAAAGCAATCTGCGTACCAGGCTTGGGCTGATGCTCGAGATCGCAAAGCACCGGAAACCCTACGTCTGAAGAAAGCCTTTAATAAAGCCGCTAGATCCTGCAAAAAAGCGATACGGAGAGCTCGCTTCGGCCATATTAGTCGTATTGGGGTCAGGTTAGCTTCATACCCATCAGGGAGTAAAGCATTCTGGTCACTCGCTAAATCGGTCGAAGCGAATTTCTGCAGGTCATCCCTTCCGCCTTTAATGAGAGATGACGGATCGCTGGCTCATACCGCTGAAGAGAAAGCAAATCTTTTTGTTTCTCTTTTTGCTTCCAACTCCCGTCTTGACGCTACTTTGCAAACACCACCTACACTACCTCGATGTGACTCGGAAATGCCCGAAATCACTATCCGTCAAAAAGAGGTGTTGAAAGCTTTACGCAAATTAGACGTCAACAATGCCAGTGGCCCTGACGGAGTCCCAGCGATTGTCCTGCGGAACTGTGCACCCGAGTTGTCTCCGGTGTTGACTCGCCTGTATCGCCTCTCTATGAGTTCTGGACAAGTCCCGAAATCCTGGAAGCTTGCAAATGTACAGCCTGTACCTAAGAAAGGTAGTCATGCCGACCCATCTAATTATCGACCTATCGCAATCACCTCCATACTCTGTAAGACTATGGAGCGCGTATTGAACAGCCGTCTCCTTGGATACCTCGAAGATAACGATCTCCTCAGTGATCGACAATATGGTTTTCGCCGTGGACGATCTACTGGGGATCTTCTTGCGTACGCCACACATTTATGGAGCGAGGTTGTCGAGAAACGCGGTGAATCGCTTGCCGTGTCTCTCGACATATCAAAGGCCTTTGATAGGGTTTGGCATGATAGCCTGTTAAACAAGCTTCCAGCTTACGGAATTCCTGTTGGCTTTTGCACATGGATAGGCGATTTTCTGAAGGATAGGTCAATCCGTGTAGTTGTAGATGGTTACTCGTCTGCTCCTCATGGTATAAATGCCGGTGTACCTCAGGGATCTGTCCTCTCGTCTCGAGTGACGTCACGGACGTCTGTGTTGCAACTTGCAGTTTTGTGTCTCGCTCGTTTTTTCTCTGATTAAAAATAATAAACAGATCCTATCTCACATAATAACCACATAGAAAGAACCGTCACAGTGTCAGTGCTGTGTAGTATTACAAGTGCGTAGAAAGTATAGTGTATTACGGAATTAAAACCACTTTCATATCAATAGTATATATCATCACCATTATTTATTAAACGTATAAGGTACCTCAAAGACAACAAAAAAATTAAACACCGCCAAAAAAAAAAACCAAAAAGTATTTGTCCTAACTCAATTAAGTGCAGTGACCCCTCGCGGATCATAACCGTACTCATTAGCGAGTCCGCTGTCTAACGTTTATAAAAATATTTGCGTTCGATATGGTGGTTAAGTGCAGTGCGTGTTACAAATTTATTCTAACGCTAGAGGGCGCAAGTGTCGCTTGCCCAATATGTAAAAAATCCTACCATAGGGATTGCGTAGGAGTTCAAAAAAATAGCACCGTACCGTCATCGTGGGCCTGCCCGGATTGTAAGGCCAAGTTGCCTAGGAGTAACCACGACAACACTCCTGTCAAGATCCAAGACGCTCCGAAAGGCGCGGATTCTGAGTCGCTACGGCTATCTGACACCGAGGAAATTTCGCAGGAGACAAGTCTCGCATACGAGCTCCGCGCTTTTCGCCTGGAAATGTGCCGGACTAGGGAGGAGCTAAAAGGATTACGCCAAGATCTATTCGAGCTAAGATCGACAGTGCGCTCCTGCGAGAACCGTCTGGATAAGGTGGAGGAGACGGTTCAAACACTATTGGACGCACGATTGAGTGGGACCGGAACTGACCCCGGAATCGCTAAGGTAATCCTGGCGCTCGAAACTAATGTTGAGAGACTTCAGCACGACATAAACGATCGCGACCAGGAGCTGCTGCTAAACGAGGTCGAAGTTAGCGGTGTTCCAGAAGAGAATGGGGAAAATCCGATCCACGTCGCGCTAGCCTGCGCCGCCAAACTGGGCATGAAGCTGGACGAACGTGAGTTGGTAAGCTGCGTGCGCGCGGGCGCACCTCGGCGCGAAGCGGGCGCGCGGCCGCGACCGCTGGCCCTGCGGCTGGCGCGCCGCGACACGCGGGACGCTATACTGCGCGCGGCACGCGTGCGGCGTCACATCACCACAGAGGGTCTGGCATTGAAGTCCGATCCCAGGCCCTTCTACATCAATGAGCGGCTCACTCCGATAAACCGGCGTTTATTCTACCGCGCGAGACAAGCAGCCGGTCGGCAACAGTGGAGGTACGTCTGGACCAAAGACGGCAGGATTTACTCAAGGAGGGACGCCGGAACCCCTGCTCACCGAATCCGCTGTGAAGCGGACTTGGTGAAGGTTTTTGGTCCAGAAGTTGTTTGTTCCCCGACTACAGAGACCGGATTATAATATGTATCATAATTATATTTTTTATGTTATTTTTGTATGCTCTGTTACTATTTTTAATGTGTTGTCACGTGTGCGGCAGTGAGTTTTTCGCAAAACATTCAAAAACTATTTACATACTATATACACTTACCTTATTTTACATTCATTTATTTTTATACTCGCACAAATTTATTCGTTCAGCTACTTACAAATCTACAGACACACAAACTTTACATGTTATTTTTATTATATATATACACTATCTACTGTATTTTTACAAACATAATTATCAACAAGCATTTTACAACAATTATGTTAATACAAAACTAAACATGCAAAATAGATACGGACTCGGACAGACATACCTAGACTCCAGGAGGGACTTATTATATTATCTCACAATAACTGCGACGGCCTACAACTATTTCATTGTCACCTATAAATTGCTCAATACAAAAATTTACTTTAATGTTCACTATAAATATTCAACTTAAAACGTAAATTTAAGTTAGGATTATTAAATGTGGGCTCATTAGGTACACGCCATGACGAATTTATAGTTGCAATGGATCGACACGACGTCGATATTATGGCAATTAATGAGACGTGGTTGAGAGAGGGCGAAGAGGGCCGCGCGCCGTCGGTACCTGACTACCGGTTACGTCATATTCCCCGACCGTCCGCTGTGCGCTCGCGAGGCGGTGGGGTCGGTTTTTATATACGACGAAGTATCGTTATTCGTGTACTACCTCATCCGCCGGCTCCACTAGTTGAGCAAATGTGGCTATGTGTAAACGTAAACGGGATAAAGTTACTGGTAGGAACTGCATACAGACCTCCGTGGCTTAGTGTGGACACGTTCACAGATGCTCTTGCTGAGAGTTTGGGTTGTTTCTCATGGTGTACCGGTGTGATATTGTTAGGAGACTTTAATATTAATCTATTGGATCAATCAGATAGCAATACCAAGAAGATGCTAAATTTTTTTAATTGTCACTCGTTGAACCAATATGTGACTGAGCCCACGCATTACACAGAATTTAGCCAGACTCTTATTGACACTGTAAGTACTGATATAGAAAACAATGTTATTGTACACGTCGATTATATACATGAACTAAGCCGACATGCGTTTATCACCTGTGCACTAGACATTATGAAAGCAAAACCACCACCAATGAAAATAGTCCGTAGAAATCTGCTAAACATTGACCATGAACAGTTTTATATGGATCTGTCTACCGTAGATTGGATGAGTATAAGTCACTTAGAGGATGTAAATGACATGGTGAGGCAATTCAATGCTGGAATTGTCGCATTGTTTGATACTCATGCACCACTTCGGGCATTATACGCTAAGCAGCACCGATACCCTTGGATCACATACAATGTCAAACAGCTTATGAAACGTCGAGACGAGGCACATGTAGTGGCACGAACCGAAGGCAATGACTCGCAAAAGACCTACTACAGGGAGCTAAAAAAAAATTGTTAATGAAGTGTTATCTACTGAAAAGAAGGCTTACTTTGACCATTATGTAAACAATCAAAAAGATGCTAGGGTATTATGGACACACATAAAAAATAATGTCAACATAAAAAATAAGCCAGAGGTACCGGTACATATTTTTGACAATCCAGATTTGATAAACGACCATTTCTTAAATGTACCCGGTAGTGCACAGGCTGCGTTATCAGACGAGACGTATTTTCTGGATAGTTGCAAGATTTCCACAAAACTATAGTCGTCACAAAATAATAGATCATATTTGACAGCTAAACCAGTCGATAGTATGTAACTTTGAATGCAATCAACGAAACAGTAAATAAGCAATTAATAACTTATTGGGTTTTAAAAAAATACATAAATTTTATTGAAGGTCTATACGTTATGAAAGAAACATATTTCAAGTATTATTTTCGCAGGAATTCCAAAATAAAATCCAATTTTGAGTTACTCCGAAACGTCTTATAAACAGTTACATCTTCAGTCTAATTCTTTTTAATAATAGTGTTGTAACCAATAAGCGCCGACTATCATCGAGTCAAATCGGTTTCACTTTAAAAAAAATGACTTATTTAATTACTAAAGTCGTCACAAAATAATAGATCATATTTGACAGCTAAACCAGTCGATAGTATGTAACTTTGAATGCAATCAACGAAACAGTAAATAAGCAATTAATAACTTATTGGGTTTTAAAAAAATACATAAATTTTATTGAAGGTCTATACATTATGAAAGAAACATATTTCAAGTATTATTTTCGCAGGAATTCCAAAATAAAATCCAATTTTGGGTTACTCCGAAACGTCTTATAAACAGTTACATCTTCAGTCTACAAAGAAATAATTCTTTTTAATAATAATGTTGTAACCAATACGCGCCGACTATCATCGAGTCAAATCGGTTTCACTTAAAAAAATGACTTATTTAATTACAAAAAACAAAAATTTTAAAGTGCTTACAAAATTAGACTGAGTATACTAGTATTTATAGTAGACAGAACCGTAAAGTCAGATTTGTATTTCCTTTTCTTTATCGCAAATTCTGAAACGGCAACACTGATGTCGATTTAGCGTCACTCTGCATCGGCGCCCGCGCAGTCTTTCGCCGTCTTGGAAGTTGACTGTACGCTTGGTTATTCGTGGTGTTTTTTCTTGTGACTCGGCTGTGCTTTTGGACTACTTCTATTTTCAATCTCGTTGACCTTGGCTTGGATATTTTGGACTTGATTCTGTGTGAACTCTTTTTCAACATGTCGAAAAGAGGACGTGCTTTAAATAGCCAGACTCGCGAACTGGTTGTGAAATTACACGACTATTTCGAAAGGGAGTCACTTAATGGTGGACCTCTATTACCAGTGACACAAGTGCAAAATCGCGTCGCAAGTGCACTTGGAATCGGCAAAAGAACGGTACACACCATCATACAAGAAAAATATGGGCCTTCCGGCTCTCAAGAAAACGTATTACATACGCCTAGAAAGAGGAAGAAAAGCAAGCCTGTAACAGGTATCGACACGTTCGATGCAGACGCTATTCGTAACCATGTTTATACATATTATACTAGACACGAGTACCCTACTGTGAGTAAATTGTTGGTATCACTTCGAGAGCTTGGCTTATTTACTGGGAGTGCTACCTCACTGATTACAATTTTGAAAAAAATTGGTTTTAAATACAAGAAGTCTGACAAAAGAAATATTATGATGGAAAGACATGATTTAATATTACAAAGAGTTTCATTTTTGAGAGAAATGAATAAAATTACAAATTGGGATAATGTTGTGTTTATCGATGAGACTTGGTTGAACTCAAACCACACAGTACCACAATCATGGACCGACGACACTAAAGCATCCAGCTCGAAAGTGCCAATGGGAAAAGGTGGTCGCCTCATAATTTGCCATGCTGGATCAGCCGGGGGAGGTTTCGTTAATAATGCTTTACTAGCATTTGAATCAAAAAGTACAAAAGAATATCACGAAGAAATGGACGCAAACAAATTTAAAGAGTGGTTTAAAACTTTACTTCAGAACCTCCCCGAACAATGTACAATAATTATGGACAATGCATCGTATCATTCGGTTCAAATAGATCGAGCGCCGACTCAGGCAAATAAAAAGGCTGATTTGGTGGCATGGCTACAGAGGAATGGTGTCGAAGCTGACATGGAGCTATTGAAAGTGGAATTGTTAAGATTAGTGCGAGAGCATAGACCTACAAAACTTAGGTATGAAATTGATGAATTGGCACTTGAGCATGGACATAAAATTATAAGGACACCGCCGTACCACTGTCAATACAATGCTATTGAGTTGATTTGGGCTCAAATTAAAGGTTAATATTTTTGCATTTAATACTGTTATTTTAAATTCGTATATATTAAGACTTATTTTGTACTAGTAGCATATTTTAATAAAGTACAAATGTAAAGAGGTAACATATAAACTTTCGAATTTGTAATATCACTGTGAAGGAACATTACTATTTTACAACAGTGTTTTTTTTTTACAGGCTACGCAGGACGTAATAATACTAAGCCACCGTTCTCCACAAAAAAAATGATGACTTTATTAAAGGAAGCATGTACTAAAGTAACAAAGGAAGACTGGAGAAAGGTGGTGGAAAAAACTAGAAAACTAATAAAAGAAGATTTTGACAGAGATGTTAATATTGATAATTTAATTGAAAACGAGTTAATTATATGGACTGGTGAAACTAGCTCAACAGATGGTTTTGGTTCATCTTCCGATGACGTTGATAAATAAAAAATTCCAATAAGGAGGTCTTTTGTTTTACTTCAGAATTTTGTTATTTACGTACAGGTTATCCTCGTGAACTATGCTAATGTATAACTACAATACAACAACAAGTACAGGTTGCCGTTGTGCTCACTTAAAATACTTACTTATTATTTCTATTAAACTGTATAACGTTTAAATAAATGTTGTTTGATATATCTAGAACTGAAAAGCAATGAACAGAAAAATAACCTAAACGATTACAAACTCCTAAAATTTTTAATCGATTTCTCGTGAGAATCGTTTAAACTGGTTACCGATATTGCAGTTCACATCACTATTTACGTTGCGATGACATGTGTCAAATATGATCTATTATTTTGTGACGACTATAACTTTAAAGACAGTGGACGAGTTTGAAGTGTTGCAAACTGTGCGATCGCTTAAGTCGAATGCGGTCGGCCTTGATGGAATATCACGGGACATGTTACTGTTGTCTTTGCCTATTATACTACCAGTTATTACAGCTATGGTGAACAGATCCATTGAAACGAACACTTTCCCAACAGATTGGCGACACGCAGTAATAAGGCCTATTCCTAAAAATAATAACCCAACTACCCTAAAAGACATACGGCCTATAAGCATATTGCCTTGCGTGTCGAAGGTCCTGGAAACTATTGTAGTCAAACAAGTCACTAATTTTCTAGAAAGCAATAAACTTCTTCCTAATGTACAGTCTGGGTTTAGAAAAAAACATAGTACGACAACTGCAATGGTCCAAGTTGTTGACGACATTCTATCCGCGCAAGACAATGGTCAGGGCACATTGCTGACGCTACTTGATTTTTCCAGAGCCTTTGACTGCATAAATATTAATATGTTATTAGTAAAATTACACTTCTACGGTTTTAGCCATTCTACTATCAAGTGGTTTGATAGCTATCTGAGAAATCGGACTCAGTGTGTCGAAATTTCCAACCAGTCTGGATCAAAGCTGTTGTCTAGGTCACGTGACGTCATGCGCGGAGTGCCGCAAGGTTCTATTTTAGGCCCTATCCTCTTTATCATCTACAGTGCAGATGTGATAGATCATATTAAATTTTGTAAATATCATATGTACGCTGATGATATACAGATTTACATATCATGCAAACCAGGTGATACTCATGCAGCCGTGTGTAAGTTAAATGAGGATTTAGAACGTATAGCTTCATGGTCGGAATCAAATGCGCTAGTACTAAATGGTAATAAATCAAAATATATGGTGCTAGGTACAAGGCAACAAACAGCGAAAATTACAAGTTACAGAATTTCTCTAGCGATCAGGGGTGAAATTATTGAGCGTGTAAGAGAGGCTCGTAATCTTGGTCTCCTTATGGATGAACAGCTACGTTTTGAGAAGCATGTGTCAGGCGTCATTAGAAATTGTTTCTATAGATTAAAAGTGTTATATAATATAAGAAATTACCTTAATGAGGCCGTTCGAATCAAATTATGTGATTCACTGATACTCTCTAAATTTAATTACATGGACATTGTGTATGGGCCACGACTATTACAGCGCACGCAACAAATGATACAACGAGTGCAAAATGCATGCGCGAGGTTCATCTTTAACATACCATCACGCACGCACGTAACCCCTTACATGAACAATGCAAATATTTTAAAAATGAAGGCGAGAAGAGATCTGCACCTAGCTACACTTCTGTTTGGGGTCATAAAATACAAAGTTCCGCCTTATCTGGCCGAGAAGTTGATGTGGTCCCGCGACGTAAAAACTGCCTTCACCAGAGCATCAGCTTGGTCGCTGGTTCTGCCGCGCTGTCGCACTACCGCATTCCGCGGTAGTTTCAAATTTGCCGCAGCGAAAATATGGAATGTTTTGCTGCCGCCGCCATTACGTAGTCTGAAATCAGTGCATACGTTTAAAAGCAAATATAAAAAACATCTGTTAGATATCCAAAATAATGCAGTTTAAGTTAACCTGGGCACTTACCGCACTGTTTTCGACTAAAGGTGTTGGTCCGCGGCAGTAATCGTTCTCTTTGCTTTATTTGCGGGATGGGACACGTGCAATATGCGCCTATATGGAGATAATAAATTTGGTTGTTTGTTCCTGAAAAATGTAATTAGTTATTGACTTTCTTATTATCGCAATTATATTACTCAATTATAGGTATGTATACTATTTCATTCTCATACTATTTAATTAAAATTCTATTCAATATAAAATAAAATTGTGTATGACATTTTTTTTTTTATTATTGATTTTTTTATTATGATATTCTACAATTATTGTGATAAAAATGGTACGTACCTGTTATGGTATAGGAGATTGCATGCTATTATGCGTAGTAAATACCTACGACGACGGAGGACGAAACTTGTTTACAACGCAACGGAGTAAGTTGCATTAAACAATACAAACGTGTGATCAGCGATGTGCCGGTTGTCAAATAGCGTCCCCACCCCTCCCGTGCGTCAGTCTGCGCGTCTTTTGTCTAACCGAACTCGGAGCGAACGAGTTGTATAATTTTATTTATTATGTAATTACGTAACCACACTATAAACGCACACAGTAGGTATATTTATATATATATATATATATATATATATAT